ATCGTCCCCTCTAATAAATTACCCGTTTCACTTGGGTGTATAGGCAATTTAGCTTCTCTCCTGTATACAAGAAAAAATGGAGTTTGTTGGGTAGTACTGTGTCTGGCAGTTCTAAATGCAAATAGCACTGGAGGAATAAATAGGTCCTAGTTCATAATATTCTCGATTAACTTTGCAATTGAAGTACATAACAATTTGTTAAATCATTCTACCAGCCCATTGGTTTGCAGATGATATGGACTAGAGTAGTGGTGCTTTACTTGTAGTGATGCAAGAAGGCTATCAATAAGCCTATTTTTAAAATAGGAACCTCTGTCCGATAAGAGGTATGTGGGACATCCGTGATGGCAAATAATCTCCTTATAAATGAACTTTGCTACTTCTTCTGCATTATCTTTGGGTATGGCCCGTGCTTCAGGCCACTTGGTCATATAATCGGTGGCCACCACAATATAATGATTTGATCAGGGCATTATTGAAAGAGGGCCGACTATATCTATGCCAATCCTATGAAAAGGCGCTCCCACGGGTATGGGATGTAAAGGTTCCTTGAATTTCTTGGGTCCTTGGAGCTGATAGCGTTTACAGGTTTTTACATACCGCTGAATGTCACTATATATTCGGGGCCAGTAATAGTAGTTTCGAACTTTGTTGAACATAATTTCTGTGCCCAGGTGAGCCCCTGTGGGATGATCATGCACTTGGGACATAATAGGTTCTACCTCATATTCTTGCAGAACTCTCAGGAGTTCCCCTTTTCGCTTTCTGTTCTTTTTGTATAAATTTCCAGTTTTCCATTAGAAAAATTAGCTTTGTTTCCTTAGCCGGGCTTGTTGCAGGTTATCATATTCTTGCGGATATTGTCGATGTCGTAGATAAGTAAACAATTCTGCATATAATTGAGGATCCATTGTTTTGTCAAATTTGAAGGATAACTAATAATTTTTGGCTATGCTTAGCTTTTGCCAGAATACCGACAACCTGGGCCAAATTGAAGTTTACATCGGGTTTTTAAATTCTTTTTTTATTTAGGTGATACCTTCTTTAGGCTCTTCTGAGAGCTTCTTTTCTTCTAGTAGCTTTTCTGAGGCTTTGTTATCTAATGTGGCTACTAATTTTCAACTTCTGGATATTTTTTCAAATTTTTCTAAATTCTATAATAGTGTTCCTTCCTTAATGGCCCCTTTAATAGATTGTATGTTGGTCTTCTGAATTTTTGTTTTATTTCTAATAAGTATCACGTTTATATATTGGGTCTTGTATATGAGTGTGAATAGGATTTTCTGGTTTTGCAGATTCAGGCTATGAGTAAATTTTTCTAATCTTTACTTCCTTCCAAGCTCTTCACATTGCTCAATTTAAGTTTCAATTCGAGTTGATATATCCTTCTTGTCTAGGTAGTTTATCCTTCAGTTGTTACTAGAGGTGATTTTTATTTCGTTGCTGTATAGTCTTCTTGACTCCAATTCCGTTTTGATAACAATACCCAA